TCCTCCCTAGCCCGCCTCCTGTGCTTAAAACGCTCCCCGACTCTCGGCCACGGCCACTCCCGCGGTAACAGCGTCAACCACCGCGGCAGTTTCGGCCGTCGAGGCAGTGACGTGGATGCCGAAAATCGACTGATAGATCAGTTAGATGAGGAGTGGGAGGATTAAAAGATCTGTTTGTTAACCAGCTTTGTTTGTCTTATGGGATTTATAGCGCAACTCTATGATATATTGCTGCCAGCATTGGTTGTATTCGTTGTACAATGGCCGATTATCATATGGATGGTGCAAGCATGCATGGGTTGATTTATCAATTGATTGATTAAGCTGGCTCTGTTTTATGGCGTCATTGAGTATTACTACTATGAGGTGCATGAGAATATGTTTTGCATTTTACCACACCCGAGGCCGAAGCTTGTACTATTAGTAGTAGAGTTATATATATTTACGGTCAACTACGTGTAGCAGCTACTACCCCGTAAACAACTCCCAGGTATGTTAACCCTATTGGCTGGACATGTCCTCGATTAAGCACATACATGCATGTCCTGGACGAAGAAACATTAGATAAATACAAAAACAACAAACCCAGATAGCATACTACATCATCTCATCATTTAGCTTGAAGGAAAGATAATATAGAAAAACCAAAAAGTATGCATTGTCGGGGAGTCGAACCCCGGCCACTCGCTTGGAAGGCGAGTATCATAACCGTTAGACTAACAATGCTTGCTAGTTGAAATATGGTCCCTACAACAGTTCACAATCCGCAAAGCACTAATGTCAGATCTACGGTATGGCACTTGAGCTAATGAACAGAGTAGCACGTATATTCTGCATGTTGAGCTTAATGGGAATATGTATGTGATCGGAAACATGGAAATGACTTGTCCCGTGGTAGAACGTGTATAGCGCAACGTACTTGTATGTAGTTAGGTTGCCCAATGAGTCAAGGCGACCACAGACAATGTAAATAAACGTAGGATGATTTCGCAATTATATATGGCTAAATACATACATACTACAATATTTAATCTTCTCATTGACCATACACTAAGCTCAGTTTACTCTAAAGGAATGCAACATAAGATATAATTTCTTCCGACACATGCAGGTTAAACTTCAAACCACCCCACCTCATGCAAATCCCGCATCCAACTTCACTGGTGGTGCATGGTGGGGTATAAGACAAATAAATAGAAATTTTCTCCAAGGAAGCATCATTGGTCTAGTGGTAGAATTCATCGTTGCCATCGATGAGGCCCGTGTTCGATTCACGGATGATGCATTCTTCCAAGCATTGTTAGTCTAACGGTTATGATACTCGCCTTCCAAGCGAGTGGCCGGGGTTCGACTCCCCGACAATGCATTTTTTTATGTTTTTATATATTATCTTTCCTTCAAGCTAAATGATGGAATGATGTAGTATCTGATTTGGTAGTTTTGTTGTTTTTGCTTAGATGGCGGGGTTGGTGGGCTATATTGAATCTGTTCGTGGTCACTTTCATAACTGTGTCCAACCAATAGCTAGCTTACTGTATTAATCATGCATCAAATTATCTACGTATGAGGACAAACTTCTTACTAGATTGAGGTATATTTATTCTCTGTCGAATATATAACCATAATATAAATACACAGCATCAAGGCATGACATGACCAGACCAGACTAAAAAGCGTCGCGTCGCATATACCACATAGCCGAGGTCGTTCATAAACTCCAAAATCTTTTCCAAAACCAGACCGTCCGCCCCAAGCCCGAATGTACCCCGCTGAAAACTGAAAGCCAAATCAAATGATATTTCCTCCTACCTGCAGACACAAAAATTACAATTGCTTATGCCTGTGAACCGCGATTCACCCCTAGTCCTAAGTCAAATGCTCCCATCGGTATGTTTCCGAACCCAGAGAGATCGGGACCTCCTACGACGGGGTTACCTGAACCGGCGGCTTGTGAATTTGGATCAAGGCCTCCACTGGCGCCCACGGGGTCGAGGTTGAAGGGCAAGAACCAGGCGCTGGGTTGATAGTATTCACCTGCACCGGAGGGGGCATTAGGGTCTAATTGACCGGTGAAGATGGTGGAGGGGTCTTGATTAGGGGGAGCATCGGGGCGGTTCACGGGAGCGGGCATCGTCGGATTCTCGGGTGGGACGAGGGATGCAGACGGGTCAAAGTCGCCAAAGGAGCCGTAGACAAATTGTCGGTCCAACTGCGGGAGTTGGTCTGCTGCGGGCATGGAAAAGTCGAAGCCGGGTTGCGCGAAGGGCTGTTGTCCCGCGCGGTTCTGGTTGAACACGGCCGGCTGAGGGAATCCTGTACCGGTGGTTCCCAGCATGCCCGGGGCACCGTCCATGGCGATTTCATTCATTGACTGCGGGGGAGTTGGTCCATCGAATCCGCTCACGCTGTCAGCCTTGCTACTCTTCTTCGAATGCCTACGCGGGGCGCTCGGCTGTGGTGTAGGAGAAAGACTGGCAAAGAACTCTTCGACGCTCTGAAGGTCTGGCCGTTGACTCATGACACCATCGTCACTCTTTGCCTTTTGAGAATCGGGTTCCTCCCAATGTGACCTCGACATCCCATGGGGATACTTGTCGAACCAATCACCATACTGGAACATGGGCGCGATCTGCCCGCCATTCTGCGTAACCACCGTGCCTTTAATGGCCGCATCCGCGAATTGGCGGTATCGGTCCTTGGCACTTTCTACCATGTAGTGAAACATTCCCCAATATTTCTTCATCTTATTGAGGTACCGGTATGTATGGCGCAGATTTTCCTTCGAACGCGCCTCCAACTGTGCGTTCTTCGAGAATATGCCCCATATATGGACAGTGCTGGCCGAATAAGCGCAGTATCCGGCGAACGGAACAGTGAGAGGGTAAGCGGATGCACGGTCGATGAGGATAGAAATATGATGAGCAGCTTCCACTGCTGCTCGGCCGGCATTGCTCAGAAATGCCTTGGGCATGTCACGGGGAGGTCGTCCTCCCGGTGATAGCGGTATGGCGAATTGATTCAAGAAGAGCATGTTCTGGTGGATGATAATGTGCAGAAAGATGAACTGGTTGGCGATTCGGTCGGCTGCATGGATCTGAAGGTTTTCGTAAGTGAACAAGAGATGGCTAGGGAGAGACGCGGAAAACTCCTCAATCTGCCGCTTGAGGCGCATGTACCCAGACTCCTGCGACCACAGTGGCTGCGTGTCTTTTCTTTTGCCTCCGAGGTTGAGATAATCAACGATGCGGCCCCATATGACAACTGCACGGATGATGAAGGCTGATACACCCATATTCTCCTTCGCATTAGAAAGCTGACCAACATCGTCTGGGACTGGATTGAGAACATTGCCGTCCAAGTCTTCCGTTGGCCCTGGAATCTCCATCTGGAAATGTGACTCCTTAATAGGGAGCTGTATTTGCAGGAATTTCTCGTTTCCTATCGGCGGACGCTGACTCCCGGATGAATTATAACGGTCCATCAAGAAACAAGCCCACATGGTTCGTCTCCGTATCTCTCGATCTGTAAAACTAAGCTGCGATCCATTGCCATTGTTCTGGATTAGTAGAGGGTCATGGTCGAGCTCCCTATGTAATTGCAGGGCATACGCCATGCGCAGTGCCTGGCCACCGAATGACCAGCTCCGCCCGCCATGACATGTGCCGAACTCGTGAAGACCCAGAAGCAAAAACACGGTCAGAATAGTGATATTAGGTTCGTCATGGCGACTCAGGGCTATAGCAGCTGCTGGATTGGCCCAGTTCTCGCCACGCAGAAAAGGAGGTTCGGAATTGATCTGTGGGTGGGTTGAAAATCGAGCGGAAACGGCGCAAACGGCAAGTATAAGCACTGGAGGCACGGTTCTCGCCTTGAGTCTTCGGATAAAGCTTGGCTTGTGAAGGAGGAGGTAGGACTGCCCGTAGACGCAATCGAAGAACACCTCTGCCAGGTGCTCCTGGATCTCCAATGACGGTAAAAACTCGGCACCTGCACTCATTAAGCCCGACGCATCACCTGGTTTACTCTCACGGCGCATCGGAAAGGTATCCTGCGGACCATTGCGGCTCTCCCGAGCCCACTCATCCATTTCAGCAGCAAAAGCCTCTTCCGCTGTCCGCTTCTTCTGCGCCTTGTTGGTCTGTCCCGGTTGAGGCGGTCGAACCACCGACCGGCCAATGGCACCCATATCCCTAGTTTCTTCCTTGGGGATGGTTTTAATGACCCGGTCCTCCATCCTCTTCAAGCGCTTATCCAGCATCGCCATGTAGTCCGTCCGGGGCGCCGCCTTTCTGGTAGTGACCTTGTAAACACATGGTATTCGAGAGCGCGAGCAGTGCTTGCACGCAGGCTTTTCGCCCGAGCATCGGATCTTTTTTCTTCGACAAGCAATGCAGGCGAGGGGTAGGCGCTTTCGCTCCTTGCCGGCTTTCGTCTTCATTTCGCTCCACGCTGGTTTTTCGCCTCCCTGTTGGTCGTGATTGTGTGCGGGGTCGCCTCTGCCGTCGTCCCGGTTGGCATCAATCCCCGACTCGTGCGAGGTACCCGGATCACCGGCAGTAACGGCGCTGCCGGGATCACGCGAGCTGGCTCGGCTGTGGTTGTCGAGGTCTTCGGGAAGGACGATATCGTCGTGGCCCAGGGTCAGGCCGGAGGCCAAGGGGGACTCGTCGGACTCCGGAGGGATCATGATGGGCGCAGGTACCCCAAGAACAAGACCCGGATCATCGTTCGGTAGGAAGGGGGTGGATGCGGAGGGAGTTGGCCACAGGGTCTGGTCCTGCAGGTGCTCTGGGGAGAAAGACGGGACGAAACCGCGGGATGAGGCGGTGGTCGAAATCGGTGGGTATGGGGAAGGCTGGCTAGGACGGGCGCTGACTGGAGGCTTGGCACCTCTCGCCGTCGTCATCCTGGGGGAATTTGCCCTTTAGTAATTTAAATGTTCGCCGTCCCCGGATATTGTTCACTATAGTAAATAGTTGTAAAATATGTCAGGTTGAGGATTCTGGGTGATGATAATGAAGCCCATAAAGAAAAAAGGTACAGCGCCAATAAGGAACCCAGTTTCCAGAACATGGGTGTTGTAAAGAAGAAGGTTCAATAGCTGAACGTGCAAGTCCGGAGTGTGATCGGTGGTAATTTATATGGGGCTGCGGTCATTGGACAACCATCAACTGGCTCAACCACCCCAACCCTTGCGGAACCCACTAGACAAGACCAATCTCCAGGAGAACTAGAACAAATAATATCGAAAAGGAATGAGGTACACAATAGCGGTGGATGGAATCGTGCAGCGAGGGAACGTATCGGAAGCCTGCAGCGACGTTGGGTAAATACCAACGAATGCATGGCGTCTCTAGCCCGCAGTATCACTGGCTGCTGTCATCCCGCAATGATCCCGGGGAAAAGTTACGCTATCAACTACTAGTTAGATTAGTGCTGGCTTCTTTGCTGACAGACGCCTCATTACTCATTTTCCTCGATTGTTGATTTTATCTAAGCTTGTAACCTCGGGGCTTATAGTATTACGGTACGGATATATAACCCAAATCTTCCGACATGTCCACATCCGAATATGTCCTCCATTATTCCTCCCACTCTCACTCCCCCCCAATCAGTTCAACCATGGCCGGTGCTCAAACTTCGTGCTAGTGTGGTGCACGCGACTTCCCCTCTCGTATCCTGGTCAAGCGTCTCTAGCCGGATGCAACCTAGCATTAACCCGAGCTTGCTGCGGTCCGGGGCCATCCTACGACGATTTGGGCCGTCCAACTCGCTGACGCGGTGTGGCACTCTCTAGTGACGCCTGAATTTCCGAACCCAAAGCATAGACACCATAGCTAGGAAAGACGATCCAGAGAGCACTAATGCGACCGTTAGATGAAACAACAACTCCACCAAAGAACTGAAACCTACTTGGGTATGATCCACAGGAAGAACAAGGTCCAAGGGTCGTTGCGATCAACGTCCGCGAAACCAGAGAAAGCCTCGTTCAGCCCTATGAAAGATTCATTAGAATCATAATTCAAACTAACCCTGACAGCATAATGGCGACTCACAGAATAAGGCCGTCTTCGCAAGAGTCATAACGGAGGCGCTATATGCCACCAGAAGCGCAGTCGCTCCGGGACGACCAGTAACAACCTTGGAATCTTTCAGCATCCACATCGGCCCTTTCTTGGTTTTGCGTTGGCCTCGAGACGTGTTTCCCGCTGTGACTCCATGCGTATACACAATCACCAGGTAGTAGATATAGCCAGCGGTCTCAACAAGGTTCAGGATCGTTTGCGCAATAGTAAATTCATTGCGCGCATTGAATGCCGGCCAGCCGTAGAGGTAATCGATGGTGCCATACAGCGCATACGGAGTCCAGATCGGGGAATGTAGCTTGCTTTCGAGCTTCAGGTGAGGGCGCAGCAACACGTAGCTGGCATCCCATAGTACTAGCGGGACGGAGAAGATCAACCACAGGGTAATGGCACCAGACGGGACATGCACCCATTTTTTCCCGGAGCCATTGGCACCAGTAGAAGATGAAGAAGGTGTTGATGGCGGCGAAGCTCTCCCTGTCGCGGGGGGCGGAAAGTCGCGGGGATGGTGTCGCGTGGAAACCATGATGATATTCGTCTAAGCAACGAAGCGTATCGATGGAGAGTTAGGTTATTGGCAGGGCAAAAGAATCACGAGATCCATGTGAGGATAAAGATGTGAAAGACATTAAGCAAAATTGAGCGCATGGATGCGAAAAAGTGAACCAGTCCATCCGGGGGGCTCCCAAGTATGAGTGACGGTTAGTGACGTCGTCCAAGTTGAGCTCCAGCGCCACCTGTTCGCCAGCATGACGGGTGGGTTCGTTTTCCCTTCCATGAGTTTTCCATGACCCGATCTGGACTGGACCCTTAGACAGCTCGGATATATCTAATCTTCGTTGAAAATAGATCCGGGAGATTGAAGATCTCTCCACTCGTGGGAGGTGCAGCGGTGCGCGGAAGGGGGATATACTCTCCGCCGCCTGGCTCTTTACGTTTATCCGATAGCTATCTCTTGCTGCGTCGACCTCGAAACAAGCACGTAGTGGCATTGCTCGTTAGTCAGGCGATCCCAGACATTGCATTATTGAAAATGAGCTGAATAGAGTGTAGACAAGCTTTCATCTCTGCAAAACACTATGATCTGATTTGTAATTAGATATAGTGTCTTACTGTACCTACCAAATACACAGCAGTAAACCTTCTGCTTGGACATCGCTCTGCAGCAGGATGCAGAAAGTCTAGAACCAATAGCCCAGCCATGATCTTCATTTTAGCGGACACCTGGTCCTTTTTGTTTCACGAACCTGTGGGTCGTCGTGGGTGTTGTTGTCCCCTAATCTGATCGTTGCACCAAATAGAGTGCTTATGGCTTTAATGGAGCTTGGGCCAAGGCCGAATCCACTGACCAAGCATTGGAAACAGTCAAAAGACATGCCCAATCATGCCTTCTACAGTCCCACCGAGGATGTCTTGTCATAGATGAGAATTTATCGACCTGCCTCGATCGTTCCGGTTATCCTTCGCTCCATGTATCCCAGTTGGGAAAGATGCCCCGAAGCGACTACGGTTTGCCGTAAAAGCAGATAGCGCAGAAGATACGCCGAAGTCCCCAGAGCCAGTGCTAGCTTTCTCCACAAAAGCCCACTCTTTTGGGCAGCATATACTTACGTTATAGTCGTTTCGAATTGCCAGTTCGCGGGGAAGGTCATTGCGGGTGAGCACTGACCACATTCTCACCTAGTAAGACCGTAAGAGATGGACCCCAAGAAGCACCAAAAGGTTGAAGCTCACCAGCATGCTTATGATCAACACAAGCTGCTAACCTGTCTATAAAGGATATCGATAGACTTACTCGCATCCGAGAAAATCAGCGAAATAGTCGCGCTAGGAAGCAACAGCACACCCGCGAGTTGGAAAAGAAGTTGGCTGCTTTGCAAGAACAAGCGCGTCACCGGGATGTGGAACATAGAATGGCCGTGCAGAGGCTTGAGGCGGAGAACAGGAAGTTGAGATATCTTCTGACTCGCTCGGGCTTGTCGTCGGACTTATTAGAACAGTATCTGCAAATCGATGATCCAGCGTTGACCGAAAAAGTAGCCATTCCGAAGCTTCGTGCGACTGAAGCACAATGCCAGTCACAAGACAGTCCAGCCTGTATACCAAAGGCGAGAAATGCTGCTACCGGTGCACGACAATCAATTGAGCCGGGCCTCTCTAGTCCAGGACAAAGCCGTGATCATGTTACAAAGCCTCGTTCGGAGATTGTGCAGGCGGCCTCGGAAATTGAAGTGCCCGTCCGAGACCAATCCGTCTGTGGTTGTGGCCCTGGGGAAACCGTGGAGTCATGGCCGAGCAATGGTGATGTTTTGAATACCACACTTTGTGCCATTGCAGATGAATTGATCGACCAGTACAATACTCGTGGAGTGGAGCTGTCAGAGATCCGCAGGAAACTCTGGGCCGGTTTCTCCAAAGGACTCACTACAGAGGAGGGATGCAGAGTACAGAACCATATACTATTTCAGGTTTTGGATGAAATAAGCAACAGCTGATAGTATGTCTATTGTTTTGTGATGGTACTAAATATGGGCTCATCAAGACGGTTAAGGAGCCCATTTTTGTCTTTTCGCAACCCACTTGACCACATATACCAATCCCAGAAGCACGGGGACCTCAATGAGAGGTCCAACTGTTGCTGCCAAAGCCTGGTCACTATCCACGCCAAATGTTGCTATCGCGACTGCGATAGCGAGCTCAAAGTTATTACTGGCAGCAGTGAAACTCTGCGTGCAAGACAATCTGTATCCGAAACCGCAGCGCCGTGTTACGGCAAGAGTGACACCAAAAATGACAGCAAAGTAGACGACCAGAGGCGCTGCTACTCGGATAACAGATACGATCTGGTGGACCACATGTCGCCCCTGCGACGCAAATAGAACCAAGATAGTGAACAGCAGGCCGATCAGGGACAGTGGGCTAATCCATTTCAAGAAATGCTTATCGTACCACTCTCTGCTGATCAGGAACCTAAGGGAGAAACGGGTGACGATGGCTGCTCCCAGAGGGATACCAAGGAATACGCCAACGCTTTTTGCAGCCAGCGAATAGTCGATTGTTAGACCGTGGTTCGCTCCACCAATGACGCGAATGAAAAAGATGGCGAGAGGTGCGAATAGGACCATTTGCAAGATCGAATTTATGGCGACGAGAATTGCGCAGTATTCCCCATCGCCTCCTGCTAGTCCTGTCCAGACGAGGACCTATGCACGTCAGCTTATTGTACTACTTCCAGCGAGGGCATGACATACCATGGCAATGCATCGAGCAATACCGACAAGGATAAGTCCCTCTCGAAGACCCCTCTCGTCAGGAAGAAACGCCCAGGCCAGACCGAGCTACCTCAATTAGCCCAGTATCGCCCAAAATATGACACGGACCTACCATGAACAGCGGAGCTATAATCCAATTGACGACGATACTGAATCCAACCTGCACCCAAAGTCCCTTCTCCCGAAATGACCGATGTAGCGTTTCGAACCTCACTTTACACAAGATGGGATACATCATGACCAAGAGACCGATAGCTAGGATGCTGTTGGCATACACTCTTCCATATTCAAATTCAATAGCATTGAATGGACAACAACGTACCAATAGGCACAGAAACGCCCACAAACTTCCCCCTCTCTAGCGCTTTGCTCGTGTTAGGAACGAAGTTCCCCAAAATTATACCAACCGCCATGGCAAGGAAGATCCAGACCGCAAGGAAGCGATCCAGTATAGCCAATTGCTGGAAAGCAGATGATGGGCCTTGTTCGAAATGGTCATGTTGACTCTCGCTGCACGCCTCTACATCGGGATGGTCCTTCTCCTCGGGCGCCATAGTGCGAAGTACACCTTTGATAATATAATTGATTGCTCAGGCGTAGAATGAGAATACCTACATTCCATAGTCCTTGCTTTTTGATGCCATACATCGGGACGCCAAGTCGAGTATCCAATCAGAATCGAGCAGTGACATACTGTGTATCACGTGATACGCAGAGCCCACGGTACTACTATAGATATCCAATGCTCTTAGAACTACCAGAGCACAGCATCCAGAGCACAGCATCATATATTCATTCAGATATCTGCAAACATTATGCCCCCGAAGTAGTATTACCTGGGTACTATTGAGGCAGAAACCCGTGCTCGAAACCAACCATAGCAAGTACACACTGTAGACCAGGTCAGGTCACAGGAGTTCTAAAAATTGTCTGAAGTGAATTAGTAGTGACTTGATTGATAAAATGTCTTGTCTAATCCCACTAACTGATAAAACACTGTTCCCTCTCCTAACTCAATAGTGGCAATATAAACGACACACATCTGGGATGAAATGCAGGAGAGAGAGAAAGCAAAAGAACCCCAGCAAAAGAGGTAATATATCTAGGGTAAGATTCGGGGCCAACCGATCCGATGATCCGAAGCGCAGCAGCTAGTAATATCAGTGCCAAAGGAAGAAATAGAGATTGAGCACGCGCCGTGGATAATGGGGAAAGGTATAGGCATGGATACATGCAAGGTAACATCATAATTGTGACAGGGAAGAAACAAAGAGAGCAATTAATCTCGTGTGTTTTTTTTCTTTTCCCGACAAGGCAGACACAAATTTAGTTATATTTTGCATAAGGATGTATAGTATAACATCTCTGGTTTAGATCTACTTGGTAGTGTAAACACCTCCAGATTCATTATTCTGACTGCCTAGAGCATTTCACTTCGCTCGGACCCCTCTACTAAATGTCTAAGTCGCCGATGAATATCCGCGGGGCGTGATTTCGTTCGTTGGACACCTATAGGACTACTTATTATTGTAGGATACGAAAACACTGGAATTATCCTACCGGACATACCACCTGCCCGTCGCACGGGTAATCATCGGCTGGAAGACAGGCTCAGTGTGGATGCCGTTCGGATTCACCCGTCAATGAGCCTTGGTGAGCTGCTACATGTCCCCGGGTTTGTCGCGGTTGTGGCTGGAGGTGGAGGCCCCAGTTCCGGGATACACCCCACACGGGGAAGGGTTGCAAGCGAAGGGTAACTCGGGTATCTAATGCACCGTTTAATGAGTACCTTCTGCCGGACTTTGCTTGATTAGTACGCAGTTGGAGAATAGCCCTGGCTTCATTTCCAATGCATGTACGAGGGTACCGTGCTGCTTGTAAGCTTTTAGCGGCTGGAACACTTTACCTGAGCCTGCTCTAAATCAGTGATACAGATGCGACTTTCTGGACTTCCCGTAGACATCGGATACCAGGCTCGGGGCATTCGGGTCAATGTAACTGATTTGCTTCCCGCCTCGAGGCTTCGGCGTCAAGATGATTTTCGAATGTCGGCATGCCTAGCAGTAAACATGATGTCATGCGGAAAGATGCCGTTGCTTGTTACCTTGGGTGTGTGAGACCAGGAGCGCGGATGGTGCGGGGGTGGGAGGCTCGAATCAAAGCCAGCCAAATCTTGGCAGATGACGCCTGGACAGATCATGATTGATCGCAGAAAACTAGGCAAGACAAGCGATAGGCAAATAGTAATGCATGTCGGGGCTCAGAGGGGGCCGCAACCGGAGTATTCGGCAGTTCAGAGTTGAAGATTAGAATTCATCTTCGATCATGCAATCTAGTATATCCCGTACCCACAAGCAAACTGGGTCTTTGGTTACCTTTCAAAGGAAGACGACGTATTGGTAAGCAGAAGAATTGGAAAAAATGGCTCAATTTCAACCCGTAATCGGAGGTCGAGCGGGCTAGTTAGTGGTCCATGACGGAAACAAGACTTTCATCGAGTCTGAAACCCGAGTCCTTAGTGTACTAGACTATACGAGTGAGTAGTAGTGAGTACCCCACGGAGAAATTCCCCACATCTTCAACTAACCCCAAATGGCCTGTGTCTCTGCATGAGCGCATGCGGCACCTGACCGAGAGCAGCCACCCTCCGAGAAATTTCTACGAAAAGGATGCTTTTTTAGTAACCCGGTCAAGCGTTGTGGTTCAAAATCATTAGACTGCCATGTGGTCGGCAATGTCCGCTCTACCGGCGATGCGTGGACGATCAACAGTCCGGACTTTGTCCGAGAACTCACTGCGTACAAGCAGTGGATGTCTTGACTAGAATTAAAAAACACACTCACGGTCATGCAAGCAATTTCTCATCTTCAGAGAGTACTCTGACAAGACACTACTATTTTGCAGTGGCGCCCCATCACCGTCAGCAGCACCTTAGCCGAAAGTGGGGTAATTTCTTCCCCCAGGCTAACCGCTAACCTGGATAAATGATGAGCGACATTTGTGATTAGGCGACACCGAGGATAATCGGAGTCAAGAGTGACGCCCGGAACATTGAGAGCAGTGAAGACGTCCCGTTCTTCTTCCGACGGGATCCCATCCGTGTTGTAGGAAGAAGGAGCTGATTACCTCATCTCTTCACCTCCCAAGGTGGAGCATCCCTTCTATTGTTGACCGAAATTAAGAGATTCCAAAGGGAGGAGTGCATTGTTTAGAAAGTGGTAGGTATGGGCTGACCCTTGCGGGAGGCCGTTGGGTCGACGTAAGGTGCATTGGAGCCATGTCGGTACGATGACATTTATTGTGCTCAGAGACGGCGCTTGGCGGTATCTGCTTGTCTGACATGTCACCAGGCACCTGTTTAACCAACTGGGTTTATGGTGTAGTATCTGGTTGTGCCATCGGTCTGACCGCTGGGAAGCTGCTAGGATGATGAAGGGAAATGCGGGGAATGCTGGGGTGATGAGTGGAAGAAGATGGAATTACACGGTGGATACTGGATACACACAAGAGTGGACTGACGGTAAGACGCCCAGCCGGATTCGGACCAACAATAGACTTGACGGCACGGATCCATGGGACTCTGGCTAGTAGTAGTACGAAGTAGGTAACTAGTACCTGTTGGAAGACTAATTCCTCCAATGACGACAGCGCGGAAAAACTCCTGCTGCTTCATGCTCAATTTCCCCATGCGCCATAGGTATTCACGTCGAGTAAGTAGAAGCTAAAACGCGCAGGGCCACTCGGAATTCGCTCTGGATGGAGTATTGTTTGGCTTTTCCACCTGCTGTATCGAGTGTTGGTGGGAACGAGCCAGACTTGCATGGAGATAAACTGCTAGACTGGTGTCTCAGTGAAGAATGTAAAAGTTGATCTGATACACCTTCCAAATCAGACATACATCAACAAGGATGTAGTTGAGAAAGGCAAAATATCATGCTTCTATGAGTTAGTTAATAATTACTATGGTGGTATTGACGTAAACTTGAATGATGCAGGTAATGATGCCGGTTTACCCACAGCTGCAGGGACTGGACGAGGTACTGTGTAACGTAATTACCGGGGCGACCCCTGGCCAAACTAGTGAACTAAACTAAATCCCTTTTCCCAAATGGCTTCTTTCTCCCCAGCTTTTCGTATTTTCCCACTCTCCAAGACCATTTCCAGCTTGGTCACTATTGCACTAAAAATGGTCAAAGGAAGCGGGGCTCCAGACTTGTTCCAGCGTGGTCCACGGACGCCGTTCCCCCATGTTGTGCTGGTCTATAGGCTAGGAATAATCCTTTACCCCGGTCAACTCAACCTCACCTGACCCTCCGACCTCTTTTGCCAACCGATGTAGAGTTTGTACATGGCTCTGCCGGCCCGAATGCATCATCGCTCGAGCTCCTTCCAGCTTCCCCGACAGTGCCTTGCTTGCCTAATTTCCGACTCCTCCAGGGCCGGTCTACTGGCCTGTTCCCACCCAGTCTCCCAATCGGGACATCCCACGTCGATCAACATACCGGACCAAACATCCATCGCCCATGCTTAGCGTGTCTCTCTTTGACACTGCATGCGGGACTGTGAATTGCATGAGTGGGTAGCTTTGCGGAGACACCTGCACTGGCATACATCATCGTTGGGTTCCTCAATTTGCATGCCGTGGCGGACGGTCACTTTGTGGCGCTCAAACTATTTAATATGGCCCGGCTCCCCTTTCTCTCGCTGTTTTCGTTTCTGTCCTCCCCAAACCTCCAGTCTCTCCATTGGACAGGTGTTGCACGGTTGCTCACCTGGTTTGTTTTGCTCCCCCTTTGGGCGACCTTGCCATCATGAGGTTCACTTTGATCGAGGCGGTGGCTCTCACTGCCGTCTCGCTGGCCAGCGCTGTACGTACCGTTCCTTTGTCCTGTGAATTGCAATTGTTGCTCAATTAGATTTGTTTGTTTCATCATTGCTGACAATGGTCTTTTCATAGGATGAATTGGCTTACTCCCCACCGTATTACCCATCCCCTTGGGCCAATGGCCAGGGCGACTGGGCACAGGCATACCAGCGCGCTGTTGATATTGTCTCGCAGATGACATTGGCTGAGAAGGTCAATCTGACCACAGGAACTGGGTAGGACTTACATGGCGCAATGTGTATGTTCCGGCTAACGACTTCTAGATGGGAATTGGAACTATGTGTTGGTCAGACTGGCGGTGTTCCCCGGTAGGTTTGAAAAAGATTGTCGAGATGAGGCATTCGTTGATTAGCGGCGACAGATTGGGAGTCCCGGGAATGTGTTTACAGGATAGCCCTCTGGGCGTTCGCGACTGTAAGCCATCTGCTGTTGTTAGGCTTTGATGCTCTTACTGACACGGCGCAGCCGACTACAACTCTGCTTTCCCTGCTGGTATGAACGTGGCTGCAACCTGGGACAAGAATCTGGCCTACCTTCGCGGCAAGGCTATGGGTCAGGAATTCAGTGACAAGGGTGCCGATATCCAATTGGGTCCAGCTGCCGGTCCTCTCGGTAGAAGTCCCGACGGTGGTCGTAACTGGGAGGGCTTCTCCCCCGACCCGGCCCTAAGTGGTGTGCTCTTTGCAGAGACCATCAAGGGTATCCAAGATGCTGGTGTGGTTGCGACGGCTAAGCACTACATTGCCTACGAGCAAGAGCATTTCCGTCAGGCGCCTGAAGCCCAAGGTTATGGATTTAATATTTCCGAGAGTGGAAGCGCGAACCTCGACGATAAGACTATGCACGAGCTGTACCTCTGGCCCTTCGCGGATGCCATCCGTGCGGGTGCTGGCGCTGTGATGTGCTCCTACAACCAGATCAACAACAGCTATGGCTGCCAGAACAGCTACACTCTGAACAAGCTGCTCAAGGCCGAGCTGGGTTTCCAGGGCTTTGTTATGAGTGATTGGGCGGCTCACCATGCTGGTGTGAGTGGTGCTTTGGCAGGATTGGATATGTCTATGCCAGGAGACGTCGACTACGACAGTGGTACGTCTTACTGGGGTACAAACTTGACCGTTAGCGTGCTCAACGGAACGGTGCCCCAATGGCGTGTTGATGACATGGCTGTCCGCATCATGGCCGCCTACTACAAGGTCGGACGTGACCGTCTGTGGACTCCTCCCAACTTCAGCTCATGGACCAGAGATGAATACGGCTACAAGTACTACTATGTGTCGGAGGGGCCGTACGAGAAGGTCAACCAGTACGTGAACGTGCAACGCAACCACAGCGAACTGATCCGCCGCATTGGAGCGGACAGCACGGTGCTCCTCAAGAACGACGGCGCTCTGCCTTTGACTGGTAAGGAGCGCCTGGTCGCGCTTATCGGAGAAGATGCGGGCTCCAACCCTTATGGTGCCAACGGCTGCAGTGACCGTGGATGCGACAATGGAACATTGGCGATGGGCTGGGGAAGTGGTACTGCCAACTTCCCATATCTGGTGACCCCCGAGCAGGCCATCTCAAACGAGGTGCTTAAGAACAAGAATGGTGTATTCACCGCCACCGATAACTGGGCTATCGACCAGATTGAGGCACTTGCCAAGACCGCCAGGTAAGCAGATCTCGTGTCTTTTCCGTTTTTCTTGTGCAATGGATGCTGACAACATGCTAGTGTCTCTCTGGTCTTTGTCAACGCCGACTCTGGCGAGGGTTACATCAATGTCGACGGAAACCTGGGTGACCGCAGGAACCTGACCCTGTGGAGGAACGGTGATAATGTGATCAAGGCTGCTGCTAGCAACTGTAACAACACGATCGTTGTCATTCACTCTGTCGGCCCAGTCTTGGTTAACGAATGGTACGACAACCCTAATGTTACCGCTATTCTTTGGGGTGGTCTGCCCGGTCAGGAGTCTGGCAACTCTCTTGCCGACGTCCTCTATGGCCGTGTCAATCCCGGTGCCAAGTCGCCCTTTACCTGGGGCAAGACTCGTGAGGCCTACCAAGATTACTTGGTCACCGAGCCCAACAACGGCAACGGAGCCCCCCAGGAAGACTTCGTCGAGGGCGTCTTCATTGACTACCGCGGATTCGACAAGCGCAACGAGACCCCGATCTACGAGTTCGGCTATGGTCTGAGCTACACCACTTTCAACTACTCGAACCTTGAGGTGCAAGTTCTGAGCGCCCCTGCCTACGAGCCTGCTTCGGGTGAGACTGAGGCAGCGCAAACTTTTGGAGAGGTTGGAAATGCGTCGGATTACCTCTACCCCGACGGACTGCAGAGAATCACCAAGTTCATCTACCCCTGGCTCAACAGTACCGATCTCGAGGCATCTGCTGGGGATTCTAGCTACGGGCAGGACTCCTCGGACTATCTTCCCGAGGGAGCCACCGATGGCTCTGCGCAACCGATCCTGCCTGCTGGTGGCGGTCCTGGCGGCAACCCTCGCCTGTACGACGAGCTCATCCGCGTGTCAGTGACCATCAAGAACACCGGCAAGGTTGCTGGTGATGAAGTCCCTCAACTGGTAAGTAACAAAAGAACCGAACGAGGTTGAACAAAGCTAATCAGTCGCAGTATGTTTCGCTTGGCGGTCCCAACGAGCCCAAGATCGTGCTGCGTCAATTCGAGCGCATCACGCTGCAGCCATCGGAAGAGACTACGTGGAACACGACTCTGACACGCCGTGACCTTGCAAACTGGAATGTTGAGAAGCAGGACTGGGAGATTACGTCGTATCCCAAGATGGTGTTTGTCGGAAGCTCCTCGCGGAAGCTGCCGCTCCGGGCGTCTCTGCCTACTGTTCACTAAATAGCTCTAAAATGGCATACCATGATGGCCGTGGTATATGAATTAATGATTGATGCCAATAGCAAGACTACTTGAGATGTAGATGTAGAATGAGTATTGCGTAGTAGCGTGTAGATCATGATACAAGCGATGCCGACACAAGATGGGAAGAGTGGCGCTAGTTGGGGCGGAAACCAAGCGACGTCATCCGCTGCCGACTTCACCAGTCTTTCTTCTTTTCCTCTTCAGCCTTCTTCCTCCGCTTCATTCAGCGACCATTGCCAATTGCCTCTACAACAACTAATTGCCATAATACTCTACTCCTATTCAATATATACACCACAACAACGACATAATTACACCAGCCTGAACAGACGAACCATCATGCCCTCTCCCGACCCTCCAGCCCCAGCGATACGACCCTTCCAACCACCCATAACAGCGCTCCTCATCTACCCAGCGACCCTAATCGTGGGCTCACTCTTCTCCGTCCTCTCTCCCGTCGCACAAGGCACACGCGATGACGGCTCCAGCACCCTCCACCCCCACGTTGAGCCCCTAGCCCCGTCCATCGCGTCGGATCTCAATCTCTCCTTTCCTCCGCCGCGCCCCGTCAACTACTTCGCCCGCAAAGACAACATCTTCAACCTATACTTCGTCAAAGTGGGCTGGCTATGGACCACCGCCGCTCTCGCTTTTATCCTGCTCTCCCAGCCCGCCTACACCCTCGCCGCTAGCCACCGCGCCCGACGCACTGGCCAGGCCGTCCTCCGCTACACCCTCGCCACGACAGTATGGTACCTCACGACGCAATGGTTCTTCGGCCCGCCAATTATTGATCGCAGCTTTGTGCTGACGGGCGGGAAGTGTGAGCGGGCGGTGCCGTTGGCGGAGAACGAGCCTGCCGCGGCGGATGTCAAGACGCTGTTGACGGCTGCGGCGTGTAAACATGCGGGTGGGGCGTGGAGGGGTGGTCATGATGTTAGTGGACATGTGTTTTTGTTGGTGTTGGCGACGTCGTTGGTTGTGTTTGAGTTGGTCGGGGGGAGTCAGGGATGGGGGAAGGGGGGTGTGAGTGTGAATGGGAATGGGGAGGCGGAGAAGGAGGTGAGTGAGGATGTGGATGTCGTGAGGGTTTGGTCTGGCAGGTTTGCTTGGGCGGTTGCTGGGTTGGGGTGGTGGATGTTGTTGATGACGGGTATTTGGTTCCATACGTGGTTTGAGAAGGTATGTTGCTGTTTGATTGGGGGTGGAGTGATGATGATGACGATGATGCTGATGATTGCAGTTGACGGGGCTGTTGATTGCCCTCGGCACGGTTTATACGATCTACATCTTGCCTCGACGGGTCCTGCCGTGGAGGAATGTGGTAGGCTTGCCGGGTGTTTGAGTATACATGATATGATTATGGCATGATAGATGGGTGTAGAGTATAGTACACGATGAATACATTTCTTACCTTAATACACATTAAGCACCGGCGGTACAACAGGCTCATTGTCGAAGAAGCCCCGACAGAAAGCTACCAATTAGCCCAATCACTACCTTTCAAGAGAACTGGAATAAACTCACCTCCCGGAATCAACGCCGCCGCATACATCACCTGCGTGATCGGCCTCAAATCCTCAATATCATCATCCTCCTCGCCAGCCATATACGGGGCCCAGAAATCCACAATCTGATCCGCATACACCTTCAAATCCACCGCAGTATCCTTCTCGGCCAGCTGCTCCGCAACACACCTAATACCCATCGCGGCACCGAACTCCCTGAACGCCAACCGATACCGCGGAT